ACTCTTTCGATTCTGGATTGTTGAAATTTTCCACAACCTTGGCTCTTTTTTTGATAGACATTGTGCCGTCAAGTCGCACATATAAGTATCCTCTGGAAATAATATATCATTATTCAAGAAATTCCCTCAAATAATTAAAAATGTAATTATCACTAACTGACAGAATACGAAGTCAGCTTGAAAGTTAAAAAGGAAACTGTTACATATATTTCCTGAATTGTGTTCAGGACAAGGTAAAGTGTTAATTGGCCGATATTCATCAGATTTTTTTGTGTTTGGAACTTTTTTGATAGGCGTAACTTCATGATCATAATATAGGGTCTTTCATTAAGCGATTCCTATCTTCAAATTTGAACAAAGTGTATGTGAGATATCATAAATCAGGCTGATTTATGCATAGGTTATGTTAGCTTTGAGGACTGCAGAACACCAATTTCTCATGATGAACACCCATTTTTCATGATAAGAGTTAATTTATGTAATGAAATACCTAACAATATGAAAACATTGAATTATACGAAATTCAAGACACAACTGATTTAAGACTCCATCTTGNATGGAGTTGAAGAAATATATTTTGAAATAGATTGAAAACTTTCTAATTTCACACATTTTCATTTGTTATATCATTCTTAGTATGTTATACGTACTTTCATTATCGCATTAATTTATTTTTAGACTCTCAAAAGAGTCAAGGAGTCTGATGTCAGATACATGTCTTAATAACGTCATTCAGTTCTAGTTAATTCCATGATCAAGTATTTTTTTGCCTTTCAAATATGCCATCTTGTTTCAGGCGTGTTCATGTATGAAAAAGCTACATAATGAATGATTTGTTATTTTACTGGATATTGAATATTGAAATTACTTGCGTATATATCAAGTGTCTTCCCGAAATTAGAATCTTGAGACACCCCAGCGTCCCAAACTAATTGAAATTGTTATATTTTCTCACCTTCGTTTGCACAGCCGCTCAAACAGATCCAAAGTCTGAGTGTAATTCGACACCAAAACGATTTTGTCACTGTAATTCGCCTTCAAGTTAGCCAAAAAGAAATCCAGCAACATCAACTTCCCAGACAACTCGGGCCTAACGTCGTTCTCTCCATTTTTCGGAGGCAAAAGGTTGCTGCTCTTCTCAAATCCTTCGGCCCCCTCCAAGATCTTATCCAAAACCAAATCAGGGTGGTTGCAAAGTTTTTTGAGAGTCGTTATGCTGGCTAAAGAGCTGAGAGTTGCTTTGGCGTCTTCGTTGTTGACAACACTTCGCTTGATTGACTCAGAGTTGATGTAGTTCAGGTAGAGTTGTTTCTGGAGGGGGGTTAGCTGGCAGATAATTATCATTTCGAACTTGACTGGGAGGTATTTGGTCAGCAGGGAGGAGGTACGACGGATGAGGCATTTGTTAACAATCGTAGTCAGCTCTAGCAAGCGTTCTGAAGCGTGTTGACGTTCCAAGTCTGTTGCCATCGAGTCCTGACCTAGAAAGAACAAAGACCATCAATCGTTTCTGTTATAAGATGATATTCTTGTTGGACAGTTTGTCCCTATTAGTTCCACGAATTTATGTGCTGGGAATATTAATTTTTCTGAATTCGTTAATGATCTTCCCTGCAACAAATCAAATAAAAATATGCTTTATTATCCAAGATCTGAACAATTTATTGGCAAAGTTTAGTAAAGTTAAACGTGTATATGGGACATCGAATTAACAAATAATAAACTATAAAATAATGCTTAGACACACGAGCAGGCAGAGTATGTGGACAGAACAATATTAAGCCCAGCTGAACAGATACAGATATAAGTATAATAATAATATTTATCAATCCAATAAAGTCACATGCAGACATAGGATAAGTCACATTAGTCGTTAAAAAGAGTACGTTCTAAAATAAAATTTAAAATAATATTAGAGTTATATAAGTTGCGGGTGGTGATTTCAGAGTAGGGGGTAGATTGTTGTACACTTTAATTCCCATAACTGTGGGACTCTGGCTGGTAGTTTGTAGGGTGTGGTTTGGAATTATTTCTTGAATTTTCCTTGTAGAATATGGGTGTGTATTATTTGGACAGTTGGTTCGGTGTTTTCTATCACGTGCAAAGCATGCTATTTCCAGTATATACAGGTTGACCACTGTTAACAATGCCTAGGCGTTTAAAAAGTGGTTTGCATGGTTCAAGATAATGGTCATCCGCTTTTGGGCATTCAGTATATCATTCACTGGAGATGAAGTTCCCCACAACCAGGTACCGTAGCCGGGACTGCGTGATAGATAGATATAGTCACTGAGTCATTTAAAAATTCTCCAAGAGTTTTGAAAAGATGACATTTTTAACCAAGAGTGGATATTAGCTTAGAGCAATGAACTCCCCATTTCAGTTTCTCCTCTAGGTATACTCCTAGAAATTTAGTTGAGCTGTTTTGTATGAGGTGCTCTGGTTCTATAATTATAGTTTATATATATATGGTCTATAGATTTTTGCCCTGGGTGAAAATTTATGAAGTTAGTTTTGGTTGTGTTCAGGACCAGATTATTAGCAGAAAACCATTCACTTGCCAGTTATTAGAAAATTTGTACAATTGTATCTTTTTATCTATATATGTGTTAGGTTTAGTGTAGTTTAGGTACTGTGTATATGTAATTGGACTCTGTCTGTATATATTCAGGATAAATGAATAAATGAAGATTACTATTTATTTCAAAATATTGTTTTCTATTTTTTAAGTACGATTGAAACCAGTTGAATGGAATGCCATGAGCACCATAAATATATGAATATAGTGTAAATGTAAGTATATAATGCTATGTAATGAAGATTGATAGCTATTTCGTGTTGATTTCGATAACTTGTATACCCAAAGCTACATGCCAATTACTCGATAGAGCCTTGGTAGAATTCGTCCACACTATAATAGGGCCTCCCAACAAAGAATTGTTTTACTTTCTTTCTGAATTTCCCTTCATTATATATTCGCCTTGAAATGATGGGTAGGTGATTAAATAACTTCTTGCTATTGAAAATAATAGAATTTTGTGTGAGGACTAGAGTAGGTGTTGGAATAGAAATGAAGTAAGACTGACATATACTATAAGTTGAGGTAGTATTAAATTGGTTTTTATATTTTTTGTTGATGAGACACACTGTTTCCAAAATAAAAAGACATACTAAGAATAGAATTGATTGCTTTACAAATAATGGTCGGCATTAATCTCTGTAACTAGCCTTGCATAAATATCTGATGGATCATTTTTGTAGAGAGAATACTGTATTGAAACAAAATTGTGCACAATTTCCCAAAAACAAATTCCATAACGTGAATAGGTCTCATTTTGTGCAAAATAAACTGATCTTGTGATAGTAGTGTCTAACTCTCTTGCAACAACTCTCAATGCATGACATCCTGCTGCTAGTCTTTCACATAAGTAGTCGACATGGGAATCAAGTTTTAGATTTTCATCAATGAAGAGCCCTAAGAATTTGTTTTACTCCAAATTTTCAATTTTAACATTTTTCAAGTGCACTTCCCCTATGTTACTTCTAAACGTGAACACCTTCGTTTTGTCGATGTTGAATGGTGAAAGATTGGAATCACACCACTCTTTCATCCTTCTTATGTCGACGATGATTTGATCAAGTAAATTTGAGGCGGTATTGCTATGGCAGAGGATAGTGGTGTCGTCAGCAAAACATGTGAATTTACCATGTATATCAACATGGACTAAGTCATTGACATAAATGAGAAACAACACCGGACCCAAAACGGAACCTTGTGGGACCCCACTGCCAATGAAACGTTCCTCTGATGAAATTCCATCCAATAGAACATTCTGCCGCCGATGAGAAAGGTACGTCTCAAACCAAAGTAGCATGTGGTCTACACAATCGAAGTCCTTGGTTAGGTCACAAAACATGACCGCCGCATATTCTCTTTCATTAAGATTGGTGTACAGGTTTTTCAGGAGTGAAAATACGGCGTCTTGTGTACCTTTTGAAGACTGAAAGCCAAACTGGAATAACAATAATGGAATAACATTTTTTTTTGTTTCTTAAATGAAAATCAATAATGGCAGTCCAATTCTCTTTGAATTATTTTTGGATTGTTTGGTATGATTTAAAAAAAAAATTGCTTTTCAGCTGTTCTGATTACTCTCCTATAAACAGAATTGTATTTATTGTAATAATCGAGGAAAAGAAATTGAAAAACTTCAAAATAATTACCTTTCAGTATATAATTCTCAAACTTCTTCTTGAACTCCGAAGCACTGCCTAAAAGACCTTCGTTAACAAAATGGATGAGACTGAAGTATTCTGTAAGGTCATTTTGAATGGGAGTTCCGCTCAGCAAAACTCGTCTTTTAGCTTTGAGTCCCATCAGAGCCCTATATGTTTGATTCTCACAATTTTTCAACCTAAAAAAAGAAAGGCAAGTAGGATCCAAGCTTTATTATTTCGACTTCCAGTACCTATGCCCTTCGTCGCAAAGAACAAGACCTATTTCACTTTTATGTAAGATTTCAGCGTGCATTCGAAACGTTTCGTAAGAAATGATGAGCACCGGTATCGCAGTTCTGCCTTGCCCCTGCATAAACTGTGTGAGCTTTTTCTTTGCATCGGGCCCCCCGTCCATAATCATAGACTGTAAACGACCTTTCAGCCACTGAATCTGAAACTTCAAAGAGATAAACCGAATAATGGTGAAAAGGGCCCTCTACAACGTAAAATCAATATGTAATAAGGAAATTTTGGACTAAAAAACTGGACTTACCTCTCTCTGATGCGGCCTCAGTATATTTCCTAAGAGAGGATCTACGACGACGTGAACTAAAACAGTGCTAAGCGAATATTAATTAAATTAGATAACTGCACTGATCAAGAATGTTTACCCATCCTTTTTCTTCATTTTGTCGTGCTCAGTTAACTCGGGCGGGGCATACAAAACCAAAGCGTTGGGCATGTTTGGATCGTACAAAGCCCTCTTCACTTGAGGCCTTCGTATACCCAAGTTTCTGGTAGAATTCGAACCTTCATAATTCGGAATAGGACACTTGAAAGGCCTAGAAAGTTTCTTGATGAGTAGTTCCTGAAGAATTTGTGTATCAATGTTTTATAGGTTTGACGTAAATTTTACTTACGTGGTCTGATATATGAATTATTTGATTATCGACTTGTGCAAGTGGTGCCCGTTTTGCACTTTTTTCATCTTTAGACCTCTCTCTGGTTCTTTTCGTTGGTAGAGATGTAAAAATTTCATTTTTATTGGTTTGAGGAGAATTCTTTGACAATTTTTGGCTAGGAGCTAGGCTACGTCTCTAAAATGTTTTGACGTAAACAGAAGAATTCTGCAAGTTCACTAAATCTTACCATTATAAGGAAAGTACTGGGTATTATAATAAATAAATACTAATAACAATTCTTATTTTCTAGGTTAGTAGTTTAAACTGTTTAAAGTGTTCACAACAGCGGGAAAAAGTTGTTTCTTCGCCATCCTTTTCCACCACATTTCTCCAAATTGAGTTCTCTTTCTCTTACTCGGGGATGTCAATTTAATGTCAATCAATGACGTTAAAATCATTGATGAGTCCATCGATTGATATGATGGATGGGGAAGTTCATCGTTCAGATGCGACATCTACCGGACTTATTGAAACTAAGCTAGATGGTAAAACAATAACAAAGTCTCGTCAACATAGTTCTAATGCAACACTTTGCCATTTTCAGACTTTCGAGAGTATTCAAAAATCTAGTGTCGTGTGCCGATTTTAACAATTTCAGACACTTTCTATTTATTTTATGGCCATTCTCCAAGGCGTCTTACGTTTCATTAGATTTTTTGGCCCATAGTCCCCATAGTAATTTCATAATGGAGATCAAATCGTGAGGTGTAGTTTATGAAGTTAAACAAACTGTTGGTAATATGCAGATGCATAAATGATCCTTCGTGTGATCACTTGGATCCTTTCCCCATGCAAAATATTTTGTCAAAAACTTCCGACCTTCGACACTCTTAATGAAAAAATGATAGACAGATCCAATACATTTCAGCATTTCATTCACAGTGGTGCTGAGTACAACTCAAGTGTCGTATTTTGACAATGTTAAGAGTTGGCACAATTTTCAATGTTGTGTTCATTTGGGAATGATATTATATTAGGTGAAAGATTTTTTACACTGTTTGTAAATTTAAAATTTCAACAAATTACGCGCGACATATTTCGATTTTTGCACCATCTATCAACATGTGTACAAAGTTGAGTCAATCTTAGTTCTTGTGTCCAGAGCAAATCGGTTAAAACACCAGGGGTTCTATAATATGTTATATGAATTGTTGGTTACTATCATAGAAAACGTGTACAATTATTTTTCAGAAGTTCAGATGTATTTTTCACAAAATATTTGAAAACTTGATAATTCTTCAAATAAAACTCTTTCTTTGTCATTTACTGATCCTGGGCGTGCGCCCCAACTTCCACCTATCGTAGTATTTGTAGTTGTCTATGTCTTTACAAGATGGCGCAAGGTTTGAAAGGTGAAAGAAAGGCATATGGCGTACGTTTCTATTTTTGCTAAATCAAAGAGATTTTAAACGGTATATTTGTGCGTTATGAGTAATTAATGTTTGAAAGTGATTCTAATTTATATTTTGGCGAGTTATACAAGAATTTTTCATTTAGATTTTAACGAGAAATCTACATGTTTGTGTGCGTATGTTGAGTTTTTGTTGACGAAATAACGAACTGTGATATTAAACTTAGTTGTATATTATATAGGTTTTCCTTTATACAAGTTTCGATTATTTATTGTACAACTTCGACTAGGCGTTATAGTTGACTCTATAGTTATTAAAAGTGTAACCAAAGAAAAATATGTCGCTGACAGAAGCGTCAGACACAGAGAAAATGCAGGTGAAGATTACGATTGACAAGCAGTCTAAAAATGGTAAGTTTTGTCTCGAATAATGTCACTTACAGATTTTCTATTATTTAGCACCCTATCCTGTTGTCATTTACCGCCGAATCAATATTTAATTATTCCCCAAATTATCTTTCAGTTTTGTGAACGACCTGATTTTTTTCTCGAAAAAAATGCTATTGTGTCATTGTTGATAATTACAAAACTACAGCGTTTTCAGCAGTTTATCTCGAGTATGCTTCGGTAACGAAAGTGTTTTTGATGAGTAGATATTATTTATACACAAAGAGTCCTTAGTTAATTAAATGCGTTGACAGCTGGAGAAAGAAACAACAGGAAAAATAAATTGATTTGGATGAACCATTTAAATGTATTTACAGCACTGAATCTCTATTCTAGAATCATATTTATCTCGAACTGTCAAGTTTTCTTTGTTCAAGAGAAATTCTGCATTATGAACTTTTTAACTTTATTTTTCTATGCGAGTCTGATACAGAGTGTTTCTTTTTCACTTTGATAGCTGATTAATTTTTTGCATACTAAATGATAAAGTTTTAGTTTGTTTTTTTTATAGAAAACTCATAGACATGGGGATTTGGAAGAATATAGTGCCTCAGTTATTAAACGTTAAATGGTATATACAGTGTGTTTGGTAAAAAAACACCTTTTCTGTAGAAAAAAATTAAAAATTAAATATTTAATTCAGAACTGTAGATGAAATGGGGTGAATATTATTCATATTTTTCATAAATTCTAATTTTTAAGCTGTTATCAGCAGAACAAAATAGTCTAAATTGGCGAGACAGTTAGGGGGGGGGGGTTGTCATAACCACAAAGACCTACTACTCTATCGTGCGATGAAATTCCTTTCCAACATTTGTTTCATCCTTTTGCAAGCAGATGGGATGAACTAACATCTTGTGATTCTGATTCAACAAGATTCAACTGTTGAAATCTGTTTTTAACATAGATCTTCTTGAATCAGAATCACAAAAACTGTGATGGTTTTCAATCCATTTCAGAATGTTTTCCTGAATACCCAAAGTGTTTAGTTTATGCAACAACAATTTGTGATTTGCCTTTTAAAAAATCTGTGTGAATAAAATCAAAGTGGTGTCTATTTTTG